TGTGTGTGTGTGTGTGTGTGTGTGTGTGTGTGTGTGTGTGTGTGTGTATTCACATATGCCATAGTTCACATTGTGCCACAGTACATGTGGAGGTCAGCACAACTTGTAGGAGTTGACTGTATCTCTCCACCGTATGTGTCCTAGAAATTAAACTCAGGTTGTCTTGGCAGCAAGTGTCTTTACTGAGCTACTCAGTGGCTTTATGTTTTTCAGAACAGTGTGTGTATAACCTGGGTTGCCTTGAAGGCTCCATCTTTTTGCTTTTTAGCTTTGTGAGTGCTGGGATTATCCATGCTGGGATTATCCATGCCTGCCTAGCTAACAGTAATAAAGATCTTTATGGAGTTGACTAGTGTGTGTGTGTGTGTGTGTGTGTGTGTGTGTGTGTACCAGTGAAATGGGGTGGGCGGGGTGCGTGTGTGTGCCTGTGCACATGTGTATACAGGCCAGAGAAAGGCTTTGATGGTCTTTCTTTCTCATTCTCTGTATTATTCCTTTGAGACAAGGTCTGTTCCTGACCCTGGAGCTCGTTTTAGCTAGGATGGCAGCCAGCTAGCACCACTCATCTGCCGTTCTGTCTTTTTTCTGCAAAATACTGGATTTACAGATCTTTACCAGATCAGGCTAAGCTTGTTACATACGGCCTGGGATCTGAGCTCAGGCCCTCATGCTTGCACTTGAACCACTGAACCATTTCCCTAGCTCCTGGAGTAGAGATTTTTAATAAATATTTTTTTTTTCTCTATGCAAGCAATCCTGTATATTACATGAAGGAAGGAAGTACTAGAATTGCCCAAGGGGCAGAAACCTAGGTAGGTACCCTGGTTAGCATCATCTGGGATGGAGGCACCTCAAAGAATTGCCTCAGTCAGATTGGCCTGTGTCTGTGTCTGTGAGAGAGTGTCCTTTTTTTTTTTTTTTGAGACGGTTTCTCTGTATAACAGCTCTGGCTGTCCTGGAACTTGTTCTGTAGACCAGGCTGGCCTCGAACTCACAGGCCTGCCTGTGCCTCCTGAATCCTGGGATTAAAGGCATGTGCCACCACTGTCTGTCTGAGAGAGCGTCTTGATTGAGGATGGGAGAGCGCTCAGCCCAGAGTGGGCAGGTGGGCCTGAGCTGTATAAGAAAACTAGCCGAGTATGAGCAAGTAAGCAAACAAGCAAATTCCTCCATTGTTTTTCTTTAGATCCTGTCTGAGTTCCTGCCCTGCCTTTCCTAAATGATGAACTGGAAGTAGACGCTAAATAAACGCTTTCCTCCTGACATTGTTTTTGGTTGGCGTGTTTGGTCACAGCAACAGAAGATCAAACTATTCTTTAGTGAAGTTGTGTTCAGAGCTCCTACATGAGTAATGATAGCTGCTGTTGCAGTAGGGTTGGGCCATAAAGTGCTCAGACCCTGTGCTGAGCACTTCGTGGAGGTGGTCTTGTTTCAACACAGAGCTACTTGCTGTTGGCACTTGGAGAGGCAGAGTAGTTGAAGACTTGGGAATGTAGGCTCTGGGAGCAGCCTTCTTACACAAACCTTTCAAGTTTACCAATAACTGTGTGGCCTTGAGCAGTTCTGTAGAATGGTGGTAAGAGTACCTACCTCTTACGGTCGTGGTGACATTCAAATTGTGTGGCCAGCTACAATGCTTGGCATAGTATTTAGCAAATAGGATGTACTTCCCAAATGTTTGTCGGGATTACAGTGTAGTTCTTACAGATGAAGAAGCATAGCCCAGAGAAAGATGAATTCATTTTCATATGTCACAGCATATAAGGGATGGACCAGAGTTTGTCCTGGGCAGTTGGACTTCAGAGCTTTAGCCATT